TATATATATATATATATATATATATATATATATATATATATATATATATATATATATATATATATATATATATATATATTATAACTATATCATGTATCAAAATACTAATGTTTCTATTGAATTGACAAAAAATAATAACATATACATCCATTATTCATCTATAAGTATTGATTCAACTTTATCCAAACCATTAGAAATGGAACTACACAGTGGTTTTGCATGTCCTCACACTGCAAAATGGCTGAGAAAAAAACCTTCTTTCCTCTCTCTCTTCCTAATCATCAATAAGAAGTCTACTGTTTGATGGAAAGATTGGCTGTTGATGGTGCTGTGATAAGAGTAAGATGATCATCTTGTTCTTATATGAGTGTGGAGAAGAGAAGAACATTTGTTCAGTGAAGAAATCAGATTGGCAACAGTAAGAGGTTTAATGCCATCCATCCTGAATGAGAAAAGCTGGAATCAGATTAGACTTGTCTCTTTCTCATCTCAATGCAGAGTAATAGTCTCTTGTCTCTGGTTAAAGTTGTCTCTCATCACAATGCAGAGTAATACTATCTTCACTAGGTGTAAATCAACTCTTTTTAGGGTTTATGAACATGAGATTGTGCTAAGAAACAAAGGTCTAATGAGAAAAAAAGAGAAAGTTGCTTATGATCACAACAAAGTAACTTTGTCTTGAGCAAATAGTTTGTCATCACAATGCAAAGAAACTGAACATGGAACCAGTTTTGTCAGGCTCATTGGAACTGTCTCCCAATCTCAGGAGTCAACCATCTGTGCCATGGAAACCTAGTTCCTTGTCTCAGATGAGAAAGGCAGCAGACATCACCAGAAATACATATGCTCTGGTATTTTATTCTAATGCAGTGCTGGAAAGAAGGCTCAATGTGTTTGTCTAATAAACCAAGAACAAGAAAAGCTTTCAACAGTTCATTGACTGCATAAAGCATGAACTTGATGCTTCTTTGATGTGTTTTGATTGCTGTTTTTGTGATAGATCAATCAAATATTTACAATTAACAATAGTTGACTTGGCTGTAGCCTGAACCTAAAAGCCAGGATGACAACCTCAGGCCTTCTCTCCTTTCTTGTCCAACTGGGAATGTGTGTGCATTGGAAATTACTCAGCAACTTGTCACAAAAAGTAGGTTATTCTGATGTAACTTCCTTGAAAGTTTCCTTCATCCTTATCTCATGTCTTCTTGATGTACAGTTTTCACCATTTGGTACTAAAGTTTACAAAGAATTGGATTATAAAGGAGCATTGTTTATTGTGGATGACTCACATTTATCCAAAAATATAGGATCAGCTGATTCTATCGGAAACTGTATCTCTTTTGAATCATTCAGCTTGAGCTTTAGTTAAATGACACCATCTAAAATCTCTCAGTGGCCTGAACTCACTCATGGATTATGCATCACTATCATTACAGTCATCTTGACTTATGAACCACTCCATTCCTATTGCTTACATCACATGCATAAAAGGTCAACTCTACACAGCCATTTGATGTAGCTATTACAATATCTAATGTTTGTCTTTTCTTGTTCTTGTTTTTGTTATGCCAGTATCCCATGTACATTGACTTAGTGCATTGCAAGTATTGATTGCCTTATTCTTAGGCTGAACAATATAAGGTCTGTATTACAGGAGCTGACTTTCACTTCAATTGTAACCTAATATGGTGTAAGACTTGGTTTAAGGCTGCAACTTGTTTTGGGATTTCTGACTTTTTTTTCTGTTGATGGAAGACTACAGCCAAACCCCAAATCTTTAGTTTATGATACTGGCAATAAACAAATGATTCAGAGAAGGTGGGGGAAATGCTGAAACAATCAAACATGACATGAAGCTTTTGCATCCAAGGCAAGTCTCCAATTGGTCCAAAGAAATGTTCAGCAAAAACAATTGTGCCAGAGGTACATATTTTGTACTCAAAGTCAGATGAGAAAGTTTATAGCTGATTATAGAATGGAATTGTAGTTCTTATCATACTACTCCCTCAGACAATGGAAGAAGATGGAGTTCAGCTCTGGTATTAATATTGCTCAAAGTGCTCAGAACCTGCATTTGGTATTCGCCAGAAGAATCTTGGTGTTAAAGCTTTAGAATCAATGTCTCTGCAACTGAGGTATCTGGTGCTAGTGCTGATCCTAAACCTTTGGAGTTCATGCATTTCAGCAGAAACACTTCCTGATGAAGGTCTGTTATATGCTATTTCTTTGATTCCCAGGTCTTCATTTTCTCTGGTAACTGTGGTTTTGATAGAGTCCAGTGCATGGCATGTAGCTGTTGCAATTGCACAAATGAAGGAAAATTAACTACACATCAGGTTCTTAGCCCAAACTAGCTTGTATTTATCTGAAAACTCTTCTTGCTTCAGCTAGTCACAAAGTTTAGAGCTCTCTTGGTATGTCGGTTTAGGATAATACTCAGACCTTAATTACAGCAGAGGTTTTGAGGGTAAATGCCAACATCAAATTTCAAGTTTTAGCTTGTTTGTTCTTTCCATCTCTCAGAAATCTATTTGTTTTTCCTTGAAATCATTCTACATGAACAACACCCACATCCTTGAATTGGATGTACTTTTATGATATTTTTTTTCATCTTAAAGATGTATTTTCAAAAACAATCATCATCTTATGCGCCTTTTCCTTGTTGAAATAGCTCTTGCTCTACAAAGCCTGGCTAGCAAGTGGCAGGTCGGTCCAGGAAACTGGGCAGGCTCAGATCCTTGTGGCAGTAACTGGGTTGGAATCAACTGTTCCAATTCCCACATCATCTACATGTGAGTTCTGAAATGATTTCTTTCATCCCCTAAGCATCAGAAGCTGGAAGTTTTGATGGCATTTGTTGTTCTCCAGAGTGCTATCTGGGTTGAGCATCAGTGGGAGCCTCTCTGACGAGATCCAGAACCTGCCTGAGTTGGTGCACCTGTAAGTTTACTGGTTCATGCATTTTAGATTGAAGATTCAGTCCACTCAGCAGATCTTACCTACTGTAATTCCATCGTCGATGGTGCCAGGGACCTCTCATTCAATCCAGGATTGGGTGGACCAATTCCCAGAACCATCGGGAACTTGGTGAAGCTGAGAAGATTGTAAGTAATGAATGGCCAATAAAAATTGCTGCGTGATTGAAATGTGTAGTTAAACCTCAGAACTGAAGCTTTCCTGTCTTGTTCTACCCAGGGTCCTTGTTGGTTGCAGCTTCAGTGGCTTCATTCCACCGGAGTTGGGAAAGCTTTCACGTCTGGCATTTCTGTGAGCTCCAGAACTCATCACAGTTTGTCCACTACCGTTGAAGTGAATCAGAGGATCTTACACTTGGTTTTGCAGATCTCTGAACTCCAACAAGTTACGTGGATCCATTCCTGGAGAGCTCGGGAATCTGTCATCGTTGATCTGGTTTGATATCACAGACAACGAGATCTCTGGTTCTATCCCTGTCTCCGATGGCACAAACCTTGGCCTGGACATGCTCAAGAAATGCCAGCATTTGTATGTGACGACATATCTTTTGCTTTTGATCATGACTTCCAACAATTTGAGTGAGCAATTTGCTTCTGCGTTTCAGCCATTTTGGAAAGAACAATTTATCCGGCCCCATTCCACCTGAACTCTTCCAATCAAATACCAGTGTTCGCCATGTGTATGATGCTCTCTCTCTCTCTCTC